AAAAAAAAAACCTTAATAGCTTTATGCTCATTAAATGGAATGTTAGTGTCATATGATTTTATATGATAAAATCATTTTCCACACATACTATAGTTGAAAAAATAAAATTAGATTAGCCCCAGAGGAATTCATGAAATCCTGGATTGCACAAGCATTATGTTTGCTCAAGACTTTCAAGTTGACTATTTGCCTAATTATGTCCATGCAGCAAAGAAGCCGCTTATGATTCTATGGTGTACAGTTACAAGCATGGATTCTCCGGTTTCGCAGCTAAAGTCACAGAATCTCAAGCTCAGAAGATTGCAGATAGGTTTTCCTGTTTACACTGGCTTCAACTTATTAAAGAGATTCAATTCTTTTGGCTCTGCAGTCAATTTCCAAATATTACTCTCACTGATTTTCTTCTATGATCTCTATTTACTCAGAGTTACCTGGAGTTATCCGGGTTATGCCCAGTCACTTTTATTCTCTGCAAACAACTAGGAGTTGGGATTATCTTGGCCTCTCTCCTAGTTCTCCCACTAACCTTTTGCATGACACAAACTTGGGAGATGGAATTGTCATTGGCCTTCTGGACACAGGTTGCTCTCACTTCTCTTTCTGTATTTGTGTTTGTGAGTTTTTTTGAGACAAGCCATATTGGGCGAGGGGGAATCGAACCTAGTACTTGCGGTGCAGGGGTGGATGTGTTTGCGTTTGTGGGTTTAGTTATAGAAAATATGATTTTAAAAAGTAGTGTTAAAATGGTGGCAGGTATATGGCCAGAGTCAAAGGTATTCAATGATGAAGGGCTTGGACCAATCCCAAACCAATGGAAAGGTCAGTGTGTATCTGGAGAGAGCTTCAATGCCTCAGCAGATTGTAACAAAAAACTTATAGGAGCAAAATGGTACATTGATGGTTTCCTTGCTGAGAATAAGCAGCCATTCAACACCACTGACAGCCCGGATTTCTTGTCCCCAAGAGATGTTTTTGGACATGGAACACACACATCTACCATTGCTGGTGGCTCTTTTGTGTACAGTGCCAGCTACAGAGGCCTTGGCCTCGGATCAGTAAGAGGTGGAGCGCCCCGCGCACGCTTGGCGATGTATAAAGTATGCTGGAATGTGCCAAGGGGGCAGTGCTCATCTGCTGACATATTGAAAGCTTTTGATGATGCAATTCATGATGGAGTTGATGTTATATCAGTATCTCTTGGCACCCAACTTCCTCTGTTTTCAGAGGTTGATGACCGCGATACGATTTCCATTGGTTCGTTCCATGCTGTGGCCAAGGGTATACCTGTTGTTTGTGGAGCTGCAAATGAGGGGCCTTCTGCATACACAGTTGAAAACACAGCACCATGGATCTTAACTGTAGCAGCTACTACAATTGATCGATCCTTTCCTACACCTATTACACTTGGGAACAACTTAACCATTCTGGTAATTTGTGGCAAACTTCATGAAGTTACCATATATATAATTCATTTTCTTAATCTAAGTTTTTCTTATTTTGTAGGGTCAAGCCGTTTTTGCAGGAAAAGAAGTTGGTTTTACTGGTTTGGTATACCCAGAAAACCCAGGACTTATCCCTTCACTAGCTGGGTAATGTGTTAATGTGTCCAGTTGTTCTAATTAGTTTCTGTCTCCCTTATTGTCTAGCAGATTTGAATTTTTAAATGATTGCTTGAGATAAATCCAAAACTTTGGCTTCTTTATACTTATTTTTGGTGCTTAAATACTGTTCAAAGATCATGGTAGTAAGTAGATTTTTGCACAATACATTGCATTGTCCTATAACAATGATTCACTTGCAGCGTCTGCGAGTCCCTTTTACTTAACAACACATCGGTGGCTGGAAATGTAGTTCTCTGCTTCACAACAGTGGCCAGTAGAACTCCAGTAGCAACTGCAGTCTCCAGTGTTAGGGCAGCTGGTGGGGTTGGGGTTATTGTTGCCAAGTCTCCTGGTGATGTCTTAGGTCCATGCAGCAATGACGGTCTCCAGTGTTAGGGCAGCTGGTGGGGTTGGGGTTATTGTTGCCAATGTGACAATTGTATAGACAATATTAATATATATTTGAGTCTGTGTCTTTTAAGGGTAGTTAGGTCTTTTACTTATCTAGGGCATCTTTATATGCCTATATATTGTAAGCTTACAGCTGCTGTATATTTTATCGTTTGTGAATATATTGGCATTCTCTGCTTCTGCTTGAATTGTTCACAGCCAAGTCTCCTGGTGATGTCTTAGGTCCATGCAGCAATGACTTCCCATGCATTGAAGTAGAATATGAGCTTGGCACTCAGATTACATCCGTTCCACCAGGTACTTTTGTTCTTAACCATCCTCATCAATCGGTTCACCATCATGCTCATTTTCTTGGTTGACATGTTAAATTTCCATTACTCTCTTTGGTAAACAGATCTCCAACCGTAAAATTGAGCCCTTCTGCAACACTGGTTGGGAAGCCTGTATCAACCAAGGTTGCCACTTTTTCATCTAGAGGGCCCAACTCCATTGCTCCAGCCATACTCAAGGTAAAAAATAAACCCTACTACTTTAAGCCCTTTAAAAGTAAACAAACTTGAATTCCAATTAAACCATTTAGTATTTTTGCTGTCGCAGCCAGACATAGCCACTCCCGGTGTGAGCATATTAGCTGGCAGTTCTCCCTACGATTTTTTCATGGATGGAGGATTTGCCTTGCATTCAGGAACATCAATGGCAACTCCTCATGTCTCAGGCATTGTGGCACTTTCGAAAGCATTGCACTCCAATTGGTCCCCTGCTGCAATAAGATCAGCCCTAGTAACAACAGGTTCATCCATTACCGTTTATGATTACAAACAAAAAATTGCAACTTTTGGTGTAAATT